TGAAAGTATGCCCAGCCCAAACCTTTCCACCAATTCTAATAAAGATAACTACAATTCTGATAGCTCAGAACCATCCCAATCTTCTTAAATCAGCTCTTATTAATAGTAACACCATGTTAAGACTAATTCAATGGAACTGCAATGATTTTTACCCCAGACTAGAATATAAAAAGTCATATCGAACTGTTCGCCCAAGTTTATCTGTCTTTAAGAAACCAATTTCACGATAGCTCACAAGCCTTCAAAAAAACTACACTTGTCTATTTTTGTTATCAATTATATTTTCCATCAAGAGTTTGACCTACACACAAGCCTAGAAATGATTGTGATAACTCATGGTGCCCAACAAGATAATAATTTGCTCTGTATACATTTTTCCAAACTATAACTTATTCAGCTCAGAACTAAGTGACCTCATAAAACAACTGCCAAACCTTTTCATCTTAGTTGGGGACATAAATGCCCACAGCACAACATGGGGTTCCCAGTGCAGCTTTGGGAGAGAAAAACTCATTGAACATATCATAAGTAACTCCAACATCAACCTCATGAATACAGATAGATCCACATGTTTCCATACCCAGTTTGAAACCTCTTTTTCCATAGACCTAAGTTTTTGCGATCCTGGAACCTCTCCTCTGCTTCAGTGGCGAACACTAGATAGCTTGATAGCATTCACTTCCTCAATTTAACCTTAAGTCATAACACCAAAACTGCTGAAGTCAAAATCAAATGGAAAATTGCCTGTACAAATTGGAGTTTATTCAGTGATACTCTTGAAGACCTTTCAAATGAAATAATTTTCAAGAAAACATTGATGGTGCCATAGAGTAATTTACAAATTGCATTGTAACTGCAGCAGACCAATGCATAGGTAAATGTACAAAAAGGCTCTTAATAAATATCACAAAATTCGTAGCATCAAAATTTTATTCATTTTAAGAAAATGCATGCAAAAGAATTCTGAAGGAAAGCAAAAAACAATCCTGTAAATCCAATACCTTGCCTTCACAGAAGTAGAGTTAAATTTGGCAATCTCATCAATGCAAAAACTCATCTGCAGGTCCTGTTAATATCCCCTCTATTCTTTTTAGACATCTACCAGTAGCAACCTTCTCCAAACTCTATAATAAGATATGGTTGAGCCAAAGCTCTTGGAGTCTTTGGCTACCATACCAATCAGAAAAAATTACTTATCTTCTAATGCTGTCAATGGCTACAGGCCAATCTCACTAACATGCACAATGTGCAAACTACGGGAAAAGATGATAAATAAATGTTTGCTTTAGTGTCTTGAAGAACACAATCTGATACATGTAGCACAGTCAGGATTTAGAACCAATCGAAGTATGATGTATAACCTGGTACTTCTCCAAACAAAAATAACCCAAGCAAATAAGAATGATTTCATCACAATTGCCTTGGATTTAGAAAGCGCCTTTGACACAATAAACATAGCTATTACCATTAAAAAACTTGAGGACCTAAATTTAACAGGTAATATTCTCACCTTTATAAACAATTTTCTATAAGAGAGATCATTCAAAGCGGTTGCAAACGGGAAAACATCTAAAACACATATCTCACAAAATGGAGGTGCCCAAGGCTCAGTTTTAAATCCCACACTTTTCCTTCTTAGCATTAATGATATAAACTCTCTTGTTTTCCCAAAAGTAAAATACTCAATATGCACTGATGATATTGTTCTTTATTACCAAGGTAAAGTTACAAGGAGCAAATGCTCTTTACTCCAAAATCAACTCCTGTTACTATGTCTAGAATTCCCCCATGGACCAAAAAGCTACCTACTGTCCTCACCAGTTTGAATCGATACAAAAAAAGAGACTCCTAGAACTTTCTTGGTACAAACATTTGAAGAACTTATACAGACACAGCATTATGACAAAAGCACCTCAAATACAACAGTAGCATAATATTGATTTTCTCCCAGATGCAGTATACACACAGCCGGACTGTATGGTCTGATCTGTATGTATAGTCAAGGCATTAGACTTTCCCATTACTAAGAGAAATCATTAGCAATATGCACTGATCCTTTCCCCACAATTGATTCAATTAGAAATATATACTCCATAACATTCCATTGTACAGTACATCTACAGTATCTGCCAACAGTAGTCAAAACATGTTGTTTTAATAACTATTATCTGGAGACCATCCCATGTTGGTATCAGTGGAAATGAGAACACTGATGGTGCAGCAAAACAGGCCTACTTAGAAAATATGGACAACATTCAACTACAAAGGCTAGTATCAAGAACAACATATTAAGCACTTGGCAAACACACTGGAACATGCAAAATACAATATTATGCACAATTCAACCAACTGTTCCTCCATCACCATGCCCCAAATGAGCAGAAAAGACAATATTCAAAACAAGGTCACTCTTGTTTTACTCAGGATATCTGATGTCTTCCAAAAACTGCCCTCAATGTGAACATTTTAATGACTCCTCAACAGTCCAGCACATCTTACTAGAATGTTTCCACTACAAACATCAAAGAGACTACTACAACTTTCAAACTAATTTAAGTGACCTACTTGGTTCTACAAACATGTACAGAGGCACAATTTGTTTCCTAAAAGACTGTCACCTTTACTACTTAGTGTAATTATATTAAGATGTAGCTAATCCTAACCTGTATATAAACAAATTTTATATGTATGTAAAATTAAACATATTGTAACAAATTTTGTAACAGTGTCAATAGAGTCACTTCATTTTAACATGGTATTATGATTATTTTTTAATGTGGACTCCAATGAGCACTTTACTAGTGTAAAGTTTATTAGATTACAAGAAATCAACATCAACTGATGAACACCTATCGATAATGATAGCATGAGATGTCTGTTTAATAATATTACAGAGTCTATCCTATCCAACCATGACAGAAACATTTACTTGTTTGTAATTTCAAAGTCATGTGAAAAAAAAAACAGATAAGAATTTATGATACTATTCCATCTAATATTTAGTTCAATATCAACATCAAACTTTATTTTTATACTGAAAAATTTAATAGGTATTATTTTAAATTATATATGATGTATCCTTGTTACATTTGTATTTTTATTAACTTACTAATAATGGTATTTATTTAGAAACTTCTTTACGTAGCAGCAACCATGTTACTATTGTATTCTGCTGAGAAATGTATTACAAAGTTTGATTCATTTAGAAAAATGAGAGCAGCTTCTTTGGGTTTCATATCTGTTACTTAGAACTATTCTTCTGATCTGTTTTTCCTATAATTATGTTTTTCTGACAATTCTTTTATATATGGTATAGTAATTTCTCTAATCGTTTCTAATACATGTTTGGGTATCCTCTTTTGTATTGTACCATTTCCTTTATTCAGTAAAATTGTATTATAAATGACAAATATAAATTTTTCCATTGTAAAAAATATAATAAATAAAGCCGGATTTATAAACGGACATAAACATAATTTTAGTCTTTAACCATAATCTTATTATATAAGCATAATGTTGAAAGTTAATAAATAAATGTACCCATTTAAAAGCATTCATAATACATAAAACATAAATTTAGTCCTTAAAATGTGACCTTCAAAGTTGGTAACTTTCAACATTTATGAATTAAGTATTAAACATTATGGAATTGTTGGAATATGCGCATGTGTAATCCAACGTAAAAAATTAAAGAACTCTTCCTCATCCCATTCCTTATCACGCTTTCTATTTATGGGTCTTACACTATATCTTCTTACTCTTCTTTGCTTGTTAGGAACTCTGGCAGATATAGTCGCTACAATTGTTAAATAAAGTGGGACTGCTGCCATGGCCAAAGTAACTTTTCTATTAATCTTCATATTTATTTAAAATTATTTCACTTTTCTATGAATCTCAAGACCAGAAAAAATTCTTCAAGATATAAAAAATTTGGTTAGGTTTGTATTTTCTGAAGTAGTTTTTAAATATTATGGTTAGGTATTATGTCTAGTTATAAACCAATCTTAAATCTTGTGAATTATGATTGTGGTTAAAGTTATGTTTATGACTTATGATTATGTATTATGTCCGTTTATAAACCTGGCTTAAGATGTCACAATTAAATAACTTCAGAACCTATATGATCAAACTTTACTGAGAAAGTTACTTAAATAAGTCACTTGATAATACTATATTAACCTATACCTCATCTTACCTACAATATCTAAATTATTTGAGACATAGCTGCTGTTTTTAATAACAATTTACTACCAGAATTTGATCTCCATAGTAAGAAATATTGTAGGTGCTAAAAATGGAGCTCCTAAGTTCAATACAGAAGTGTTTCCCTTTCACAAAGAAAAAAATATCTGCTTACTAATTACTTTTCATGTAACAATTTAAAGATATGGTCTGTAAATAAAAATTTTAACTCGAACAAAGGTAAAATTAACTAAACAAATGCCTATTATGCAAAGCTTCTATTATTTAGATAATATAAAGAAGTTGGAAACCCACTAAAAACATTGTACTGAGTTAAAAGGAGACTATACAGAAACTGCTGATAATGTTTAGTGTATTGTTCTGAAACCATGTTCTTGTGGCATTTTAAAGTAATTACTATTTAAATGGGAAGAAGCCACAATTAAAGGTTAAAATATGTTTATTGATGTTTCCATTTCCGAAGTGGAAATTTAAACATCAATAAACATATTTTAACCTTTAATATTGTAGCTTATTCTCATTTAAATAGTAATTACTTTAATGTTTAGTGTAACTTAACTAAAATGTTAAGTTAATTGTGAAAGATGAAATAAAGAATTGAAAATGCCATCAACACTCATCTAGCAAAATCTTTATACAAATAATAACTTCAGAGTACTCATGACTGACTATATGCTTTATTTAAAAGATATACCACCACTTATATTACTGTAATATAATAATACATTAAATTAGAGCCCACTTGGACAACCCTTATTAACACTTAATACTATACTAAAATCAATAATGTCACTTACCTAAAGGTAACATTTGCTGTGATTCACAGTAAACTCTGGGACAATAACCAAAATCTCCGGACTGATATTTTTCTATCATTTGGGCAATACCCCTATTTGTTAATATATATCTAGCATGAATTAAACCATACAACATCTCTGCAGCTTGTTCAATTAGGTCAGATTGGTTAGGGTTATCATCTAATTCATCATCTAAAAATTGAATCACAAATATCAAAAACAACTGCAACTATCTCTATATAAAACTAGTCACACACCATGTGTAATAATTTTCCAATATTTTTGCATTTAATTTTTAAATCATTAATAAATAACAAATATAATTTGTAGTCCTTGCTGTATTTATATTTAAAAAAGTTTTATATGCTCACATAAAACATTTATCAATTCTATTGTAAGGTTATGTATGTATGTTGAGTGCATTTAAATGACAGACAGTAAGATGGTATTGCAGCCTAGAGGGGTACAACAATACCTTCCTATTCTACAAATGCATTCAAATTAAAAACAAGAAAATAGTATAATAGCCTAAAGAGGTATAATAATATCGTTATACTCTAAGATATACTAAAATGACAAACACTAATATGGTATTGTAGCCTAGAGGGGTATAACAATACCCTTATACCATCCTTTCTCAACAAGAAAATGAAAGTTAGTAAGAAAATTACCTGGTTCCAAATCTAAAATCATATCTAAAGCTTGTCTATAATGTGGCACTTGTTCATTTAGCCCTGTAAGATTGAATTTGTCTTGAATATAATCTTCATCAACCTAAAACATTCAAGTTGTCAGCATTTATTGTAATTATTGGGCTGATATTTACAAACCTCGCAGAAAAATTCGTTTCCTCGCAATCCACAAAACCACGAAATCCATGATACCTCCTCTGAGCTGCTCATTTTTCTAAAAATCCAATTAAAAACTATTTATTATTACATCAAACATAAATGTTTTCGTAAAAATGGGTGTTACAACTCTGTGTTTAGACACGATTTTTGTGACATTCCCATCATTCAACTCGAATTCTAACACTTCTACCATAAACTAGCATATTTCTAATTTGCGAAAAAGTGAAAATTGGACTCCTTGGATATGTGGAAATAATTATTTTAAAGAAAAATTACCTCTTTGTACCTTGATTAGCCACGCTTACGTTAACTCATCTACGCGAAAGGAAATCGACTAGGTAGGCATCTGCTGATTGAAGCGACGAACTAAAATTTAGGAGGGAAATTTGAAATTAGACACCGAAGCACGAGACCTTCAATTAATTAAAACGCGATTCATTAATTTATAATTTGAGGTTTAGCGCCGATGATACCACTGACTTCACAATCTTGTATTATAACATATTTTTTTGTAATGGTTTCGAAGTTTCCAAAATAATATCATTTAATTTCCCAACATGATGATAGGTTGGACTACGAAGATAGGCTTGCAATATTTTTCATAAATTAATTGGTAGATTAATTGGTAATGTTAAAACTTTACTTAAAATAATAATAACAGTATATTTTGTCCACATGGAAAGTCTTTAAAGCATTGTGAATTATGAATAGTGGAGAATTAAAACTTACTATAAAAATCCGTATTAGAAATTGTTTTAAAGGACTACCGAGGAAACAAATTTGAACAGGAATAAAAAACGAAGTCTAAAAATTTTGGTCTTTCAAGTGTAAAGAAAATTGACATTAAACAAGATATTGATAATTAAAAAAATCTGTCACACAGATGACAGTTTCGATCTTAGTGAGTATACAGGGTGGTCCTTAAGTATTTGTACAAAAAGAAACCGTAGATTTTACACTTAAATATTACGATTTAAGCCAAATTACTTTAATAAAATGTTGATATTAATACACTTTAAAATATTACGATTTAAGCCAAATTACTTTAATAAAATGTTGATATTAGGAAAGATACAGGGTGTTAAAGTGGAAATTTAAAATTTTAATTTTCGCTATAACTTTCATTTTTGTGAACATATATGTATCAACATTCATAACTGGGTACTATTGAACATCAGGAATTATAATTTGATGCATAGACAAAAACATCGATACTTCTGAATTTTGGTGTAAAATGCCTTTAATAAAGCTAATAGTTAACGAAATATTAAAGAAAATAAATATATCAGCAGGATAATTTGCAATAGTATTTGACAAAATAACAGAATGATTGCATACATAAAACATTTTACGTTTTATATTAAATTAAACTCAACCAAACATTTTATTTACAAACCAAAGAAATAGTTAAACTAAATAACATTAAACTTTTTGTCAAAGCAAGTGTTCGATATGTGTATAACATAAAAGTTATAGCGAAAATTAAAATTTTTAATTTTCACTTTAACACTCTGTATCTTTCTTAATATCAACATTTTATTAAAGCAATTTGGATTAAATCGTAATATTTTAAAGTGTATTAATTGTAGAATCTACGGTCTCTTTTTCTACAATTACTTAAGGACCACCCTGTATAAGTCAGTTGAAATGTTATAAAAGATACCTAAAATACACTAGAAGAGTGTATTTTTTGCTGGAATTACTTCAGGATGGAATAATCGAGAAATTGTTTTGTTTCATTTTTTAACAAAATAGGAAAAAAAAAAGAAAATTTTTGCTTTTTGTTTCCATTTTTCGACTATAACTCGAAAGATATTCCTCCTACAGAAAAAATTGTAAAATGTTAAAGTTTCGTGTTTCAATTTTACATAACATTTGACTAGTGTAAATTGAAAATTTAATGTTTATTATTTAAAATATAGCAATAAATAGGAAAATAGTGCCAAAATATGCTTTTTCTTTAAATTTTTTCGACCTCTTAAATAGTGGCGTAACCATACCATCTGAGGCCCGCGGCAAATTCATTGGATAGGGCTTTAATTTTCCAAAGTATAGGCATTACATATGTAGAATAAAATAATAGTTTAATGGTAATACGATATTTATTAATAAAATTCTTTTCCCTGAGATTTCTGTTCCAAAATCATTAAAGCAAATCATCAATTACATCATCAAAGTTTAAAGATTGGGTCTTAGAATTTTCAATAAACATAATAGTCAAGTTACGTTGCTTTTTTTATCCCAAGCAGTTTCTTAAATAGGTATTTTATTAATTTTAGTTTCGATCGAAATAATCTTTAAGCACAAATAAGCACTATAGCCGCGTTTACACGATGACAATTGTCGAGACAATTGTCAGAAGACAACTTACTGGTATGAAATTATTATGTTCGTCTAAACACTTCAGGCCAATTGCCTTGCCAACTGCCCTCACAATTGGCCCAAAATTCAGTTGTCTCCGGGAGTAGACTGAGGACAATGATCTGCGCCCAGTGAGCCCCTCTACTACTCTAAATCTCAATTGTCGCAACAATTGGCGTCGTGTGAACGGTGTAGGCCAGTAGTGCTGTCTTGTTTTTTGCCAGTTCCCTCTAGTTCTCTTGTGCCAGGTAAAACATACACGTGGTTTTTGTTATTTGTAGCTGTCTACTGCCATAACAATAGTTGGTCCTATATAAAGGTCTCGTTCAACTGGACTGGCCTCCGACAATCTGTGCCTTCAAGCCTTCTCTAAGATATATTTAAGTGCTACACGATATATTTAACAACGAGAAGACCTAATTTTTCAAGAAGATAATGCTACACCTGATATAGCAGCAGTAACTACAGGTTTCTTAGTGACTCAAGATTCCGGTCTTCTCTGGCTAACTAGAGTTGTAGGCAATAGGTAGAATATTTTATCAATTTTAATAGTTTGTGTTAATAATGGACTTACGTCACCTAAAACATGAAGTTCAAGTTGCTTGGGTTTCAATTCCACAAAAATACATTCACCTTGTTACTCAAAGTATGTCCGAGTTGTCGAATGCACTACATCACGAGGTGCAGAATACAGTCATTATTAAAATTGCCGACATCAACGGTGGCCATACAACTGATCGAAGAGGATTTACCTATCGATCTGATGGTGAAGGAAAAGATGGACACCTACGGAACGGATGAGAGGAGAAAATAGTAGCTAGAAATAGCAGCATAACGGAGTGACTGGAAGACTAGACAAACCAGCATAGGGCGGTTTCTAACAGGGCACGGCTCTTTCAGGGCCTACCTAGAAAGAATAGGGAAGGCAGCGGATGAAAACTGCGCAGAATGTGGAGTGTCTAATACGACCGAGCACTGTGTATTCGAGTGCAGAATTTTTAATGACGACAGAGATGAATTTACACAGGAAGGTAGGTAGTAATGAGGGGAAAGACTAAATAAAAAGTAAGGAAGACAGAGAGAAAGAGAGAGAGAAAGAGAGAAAGAGAGAAAGAGAGAAAGAGAGAAAGAGAGAAAGAGAGAGAGAGAGAGAGAGAGAGAGAGAGAGAGAGAGAGAGAGAGAGAGAAAGAAAAGACGGACTATTCATGTGATTGGAGAGAACCTACCACTTAAGTAACCGGTTGAGAGGGTGAACTTTAGTTGATAGGCAGAAAGCTATGGATGCATCTGTGAGCACGACTCCTCTGGGAGCACTGCGTGCTGACATACTTCAGGGCATCTTTAACGGGACACGGCCTGGTACTGTCTTTAAAAGATTTACCACCTCCTTTACACAAAAAAAAGACAAAGAGTAAGGAAACTATTTTAAAACTTTGATCATTTGATGTCCACTATAACCTATATTTTTACTTTCCAAAAATATATGTAAATAATATGGGATAATATTACTACGGTAATAACAAATTTGTTATTACCATAGGTGTTTTTGCATTTAATATGTAAGGTACCTACGTAATCATCCCGCAGTATATTATGTAAAAGAGTTAATATAAAAATAAAGGATAAATTATTATTAATAAACGACTATTAAACACACTGTAGTTAAGTAAGGAAAGACATTGTATCTCTGTTTGAAATCGAATATTCTTATTTTTAACTTAGGATTATCGATTAATACTAATGAAACATCCTGTATAAATATATAAAAACAAAAATATATGTAGCTTTTATATTAAAATTTGTAGAGACGGACGCATGGTTGAGCCTTCAGACATTTATAGTTTGGTTTATGAATCATGAAACCATAACAACGTTTTAAACAATAAACTTGTGGCAATAGTTGAAAAACCCACACGAATTTCGAGTAAATAATAGAAACGATGTCCTAGATATCCTCTGTTCAAGCCGACTTCAAAAATTAACAGTGGTGTAGTTAAAATTAATAAATCACGAGGATATAATAATTATTCATAAGATATAAAAGTTAAAGAAATAATTTTTGTTGATATTTTATATCATCTCCTTCTATTCTGGTGTCATTTGTCTTCGATGATTGATCATAATTTTATTTAATATTTTTTATTATAATATAGTTTTGTAGTTTTGCATCATCTTGTTGAAACATTATTTCCAAGTTGCTGAATTCATCAGGATTATCTTCCAGAATTTCAAGAATTAACGGCTCAATTGCGTTTTGTAATATCTCCAGATAGATTTCACCGGTTAAGTTAGCACTGAAAAAACAGGCCCAACTATGTGGTTTCCCAAAATACCTGCCCAAACATTTACTTTTTCTGGAAACTAAGTATGTTTTTCACGAAAGGCGCGAGAATTTGTGTCACTCCAATATCTCATAATGTGTGCGTTAACATTTCCATTGAGTGAAAAGGTACTTTATATAAATAGACAAAGCTTGGGCTGTAGAAGAAGCAGGGTTCACTACAATTTCTGCAATTATGTAAATTACTTTGTCATCACTAATCGTTGGCCGACCAGATCGTTTGGCATGTTGAACAAACACTACCTAATTTTCAAATTTCCGAAGAAGCTTCCCTAAATAAGGACGATCTCTCATTAATCGACGTTCCGCTGCATGGAAATTATTTTCAAATTCACCAAAAGCTGCTACTTTGTAGGCTACAGTACGTACCATTCTGTCTATGTAAACGTTTAAACGTCTACAGTATACAGGTTTCCAGGTTACCGTTACCTTTTATGATTTTACACCGTAAGCATGTAAGTAACAGATGTTTCCAATTTTAATATTCTTTTTTTATGTATATACAAACTTTGGGTTTTTTTACAAATTCGGATTAAATGACAGCTATTTGTAGGTGAAAATTTGATCTTATTTATTGTATATTATCTTTATAAGAACCATACTTGCATACGTTATCTCAATCATATTTGATGTATTTTTTTGTATTTGTTGCATTTTGTGGTAAAAATTTTCTTATCATCATATAATAAAAAGAATAGTGATATTTATCTGGATGCATAAGTGGATGAATCGTCTCCAGTCAATGTTATTTATTATAATACATCTTGACTTGTCTCACTGTTGGGCAAATGTGACCAAATATTTTTTTGCAGGCTAATTATGAATACAAAGAAAATAAAAATTGGAAACTGCGCAGAGGAAACAATGAGAGAAGCAGTAAGTCTGGTCAGAGAAGGAGGATCTTTGAGAAAAGTAGCTGCTTTGAAAGATATACCATTTCAGACATTGGCTAGATATGTTGAGAAACCCAGAGACGTTGACGACGTTAGTAAAATACGGATGAGTCCCAACTACTAATACCATAGAAGATGCTCACGCATGTTTTATGGATTGTCTGTTGACGATTCTAAAAAACTTGTCTATGAAATGGCAATCGAAAATAAAAAGAAAATTCCTGTCAAATGGCATGAAAGAAAAATAGCAGAGCTACTTTCGCCAAAGAGATGTTCGACTCTCGCCTCGCACTCCCAAAGGATGTAGTTTATTTTGTGCGACGTCATTTAATAGACATAGTGTTTCAATTTTTTACCAAAATTTGAAGAATATATATTTAAGAACTGATATGTTTGCTGACGGAAGAAGAATCTACAATTTGGATGAGACTGCGACTACGACGGTTCAAAGTCAGTAAAGATTGTTGCTGAGAAAGGGGTGAAGCAAGTTAAAAACGTAACAAGTGGGGAGAGAGGTACATTTGTTACCACTCGTTGCATCGAGACAATACCTACCACCAACAATGGTTTTTTACTAGGGTGCATTTAAAGGAGCATATGCTACGAGGCTCCCCATCAGGAACGTTGGGGCTTGCTACTCCAAGTGGGTGGATGAATGCTGATCTTTTTTTAGAAATAATAAAGCATTTTATAAAATATTCTAACAGCTCTAAAAAAAATCAATCACTTTTAATCCATGACAATCATGAAAGTCATCTTAATATTCGTGTTCTTAATTTAACCAAAGACAAGTAACAATTTTAACATTTCCTCCTCATTGCATAAATAAGATGCAACAACTAGATGTGGGGTATTCAAAGCATTCTCAACATGTTATAATGCATCTGTAGATACCTTAATGATGCAACATCCAGGTAAGCCTTTTACTATATATGAGGTAGCTGAGTACTGAGTAGCTCTCACACCGAGCAATATTATAAATGTATTTAAAAAGTGTGGTATACATCCATACGATGCCTAGTACATCAACATAAACAAATAAAATATCCGTGAGTGATAATATTCAAGAAAATATATCGGATATAGAAAATTATGCTACCTTAGACACCAGTATTGAAAATAGCAATCAACAGAACGATAAAAATGGCAAGACTGTCACAGATGTTTTTAAGAGCCCAGAAAAATTTAAGGGCTTTCCAAAAGCAGGAGAGCGCAAAACTAAAAATACGCGAAGAACGGGCAAAATTATTATAGCTACTGACACACCCGAAAAATATGCCATAGAACAAAGAAGCATTACGAAGAAAAGAAAAATTGATAACATCGAATTGAAAAAAGTAGGAAAGATCAAGAAACAAATATTTGAAGAATATTTGTTTTATTACTTATTCTGGAAGCTCAGAGAAGGAACTTGAACTTGGTTCAACCTCAGGGGATGACTGCTACTATACAATCAATCCAGATGGATTTGAGGAGCTTCATAGAAAGCCCATAGAAAATGATTTTGTGCTCGTGGAATTTCCTGGAAAACTGGAGAAGAAGAAGGTGTATTATGTTGGAAAAGTCCTGAAAATAAATGAGTCAGAGGAGTATGAAATTTCGTATCTTATAAAACAAACGAAGGGCAACAGCAAATTTGTTTTTCCCAATATTCCAGATGAAGCTACTGTTGCTTTAAAATAGATATTATATTTTTATGTTTACTCATTTTATTATGTTCTATATCTTTTTATTTTGTTTATTTTGGAAGTGTCTTTTGTGTTCAATAAATATTTTTTATAAACTATGTTCGCAACAATCAGTACCAAAATTATGTTATGAGAATAATATATTAATCTCAATGATATAATCCTCAATAAACTTTTTCAAAACACAACAGCCTAAATAAGATTTTTTGACATGCTAGATTATATATTTTCATTTATTTTTCCTGTCTCACTGTTGGATTTAAAGTGTATCACTGTAAGGCATATATTATGTGTCCTACAGTTAGACAAATGCACCTATCTATATTCTTGCAAAAAAATATCAAACTTCAAAGTTACAAATACTTCACTTAATGTAAATGTCAACGCCTATGCTGGCGTTTAATTTTTTCATTTTGGATGGATAAAAACAAATTACACTAAAATGAAAAAAAAAAAACTGTCTCACAGTTAAGATGGCTCCCTCACCCTGCTCTACTATCCATATCAAAAACACTCTTCCACTATTTTTTATGCTCACCAAAAGAGCATCCCAGTTATTCTATTAATATTGGTAATTAATTTTTTTTGTTTACTGAAATAAGAGAGGTAAAAATTTCTTGCTACGCTCTTGTATATTAAAGGCAATATGCGAAGCGAAGCGTGACTATCCCACTATTCAATAATGAAAACGAATTTATTCCATTACAGTTTTCCATATGTATGCACTTCAATGTAAAGAACAAACATTGTATGTTTATTAATTACTGTACCTATAATTTCTGATATCGCGTGAGACCCAGTAACATCAATGCAATGGCCTGAACCACTTGTTGAATTGAATCTACAAGAATAGCGAGAAAAGCTCGACGCAAGTCCCTTCTATTTTTACACGTTTATATTATTTATAAATTCAGTATGTATTTAGTATTTGACGACTTTGTCAATATCAACTAGTAGCGAACCGTTAGTTGAAAGTGAAATTTTAAAATCTCGATTAGAAATGTTTTAAGGCTGTTTCAGTGCAAGGCCGCATGGTGCGCATTCGTTTGCCCTGTTATTGTTTTGTTTTCGTTTTGTAGGTGGTCGTCTTTGTTAGTGTGCAATAATTGATAATTATTTAATAAACATAAAGTGGCTTTAAAAGGCTTGTGGAATGTACTAAAAAGTTAAATATTTTAAAGAGTGTTTGTGTCATTCATGGTAAGTATTTATTGACTGGCATTTATTTTGGCTTTTTGAAAAAATGTAGGTAGGTATATATGGATTTTTTACATTTTTTTGCTGAAATTAAATCGCACGTGAAACAAGATAACTTTTTATATGCAATAGAAAGGTTTTTTTTGTAAATATTTAATAAATTTTATCAATTTAAGACTGTTCTAATAAGCCTTTTCTATTTATTTTCAACAAGTAGCTTTTATTTGGATAAAAATACTTAAGGTTGTTGAATGTTTTATTTGTACGTTTAGTTTTTTCATTGTCTACTTTTCTTGTTAGATAGGTATTTTATGATACAGATATTATTGATTGTCTGTTGTAATTTTTCTGTAAACTTGATTATTTTCGAGATATAAACCATTTGAAATTGAAAAAAACGCACAATTTTCAAGGCTGAAAAACATGAGTAAAAAATATTATTTTTGAATTTACCAAGGACTTAAATTCAAGTCAAGCCTTGTTCTATCATTTCACGATTGGTATTTTGGGCTTATTTAATTTTAAAACACTGTTTTTAAACGCCAATAAAGTGCTTATATGTTGCACAGTTGCACACATGGGACAAATTTTTGCTTATTTTAACACTTAGATTTACGTCTTAGTTGCATAGAATTTACTTTGTATTTTAACTTTATTGAAGTTAATTTACTTTATTGATTATTTCTCCATAATATCTTCAGCCAATAAATCTACGTGGTTGTTTATTTTGTTCATTAGGTGTTTTAGTTGAATATAACAATTTGCGAGAATTAACATCTTGTCAGCGTATTCTAATATTTTTTGTTTCAGAATTAGATTCCATAGACAAGGGTAGTCAAAAACTTTTTTTGATATTTACAGATATTTTTGTTCAACGACTCAACTAAAGTCTAAAATAATTATGCAAAGTCATACATTAATCACATAAAGTAATCTCATAGTTTATCACCATATATGTATATTTTATACATATTATAGGTATACACATATTTTATATATTATGCACTCAGTTGCAAAAAATTTGATATATGATATATTTTCCATTTATTGCGAGTTTTAAAACTAAGAACAACTTGTATGGCCTATACATATAAATTTATAGAAACTCTCATTTAAGTACAATTATTAATTTTTATCCATTATTTTCAACATTTCTATGGCATTTCTCATAAACAATAAGAATTTTAGTCCAGTTGTCAGAGAGTTGACCCCTAAAAATCATACAAACAAGCTAAATTTTGCCAAGAATATTAATTTACATGCAAATAATGCAAAATATGCAAAACATTTTACCACTTTTACCCCCGGGATTCGCTTTAAAAACCCCCCTCGCAGGGGTGTAAAACCCAAAAAAATTGATTTGTCAAAAATCTGTACGCCGTAGAAAAGAATATTTTAAATAAAAAATGTAGCTGAGACAATTTTACACAAAAATGTTTATTAGCAATTTTTATGTAAAATGAACCGTTCTCTCAGAAGAAACGCTTGAAGCCACCGTCAATTTTGAATGTCAGTTACGCGAGCAAAATCAATGTTCAATAAAATTTTTGTCATCTCAACGGTAAAAATTGGATATCTTTTGATCCAAGTGTCTTATTCGCTAAAATAAAGATGCGTTTTAAAGGTAAAGAGTGCTGCTTTCGTATGAAGTTTTTGTATTTTTTCGAGAATAAACTCAGTTTTTATAAAGGTGTTAAATAAAAAAACGTGACGCGATTTTTGCCGTGATATCAATGGAATTGATCACTTTCATTAACCAGTCTAAAATTTCCATTTATAGAAATCAATCTTTAAAACCTATGACATGAAATTTAAATTTTGCAATTTTTTAAATTCAATTTCAAATTGTAATTTAACCCCAAATTTTCCTACTATATCTCAAACATGTTCTATTGGTTTGAGGTCGGGACTTCTCACAGTTCAACCATTGTTTAAATAGTACTAGTTAGACAATCCTTATGGAACAAATGTTTGATTTATAATCTGCCGTCATGTGGCGGCCTCTAGTCATAAATTTAAAAAACTATTAACAAAAACTAAATTCTCTGCAGAATTCTACTCGAGTATATTTTTAGGTGTCTGATAACTAATTCAAACTTGTACACGGATGCCAAATTGTGAAGAAAATATATGACTTAAATAAAATACTTATTATTATCGTCGTATACGTCTTGTGAAAGATAACTTGACTATTTCGAGCGATTATTTCAAATTGTTTTTATACTTTGAGACTTGCTAAATTTAAATCGGTCAGTAATCTATTTAAATGAAGTAGATAAATGCTGCCGTTTTTTTTTAAATTTTTATTAGTTTACCAGATATTAAATTTGGTTATATGATTTGTTAGAAAAGGATTAAATATTTAATTGAAATAGACTCGATTGCTATCGTCTTAGAACACTCATGCGGAGGTTTATTTTTTAGTCAAGACTAAAGGAGATTTGGTCAAGATTGTAAGACTTAAATTTTTTAATTAAGTTTTATCATTGTTTAAAAAAGAAAATCTTTTTAAAAAGTGGTTTTATGTACGTTTTGTGTAAATTAAATTTTCTATATTTTAATCTTTAAAATGACGTTTGGAAGTATAGTAATTTTATGGGTTTGGTTTTTTGATAATGGTTTTGAAACAATAAATAGATCGATATGCCACAAGAGGCAACATAAATTAATCTATGTGTTGGGATAAAAGGAATAATAATTAACAAAACTTTAATAAACTGTACCCTTTACCTTATTTACTTATGTATTTTATAATATACACACCATTTTTGTATTTCTGTTTACATAAATGAGAATGTTTGCCCGATCTGAGCTGTTTATTAATGAAATAATTTTAAATTACAAAGTTATAGAAATTGCAAAAATTAAATTCGCATTATTTTAATAGTTATATAACACATCAAAGTTCTAATATCTACACATAAACAATATTAACAAAATCATAAATCAAGGTAAAAAAACAAAATTGTTTACATTAATAGTTATAGAAATTGATTGTAACATTGTTAATGTAATCTCCTTTGAAGTGTACAATAATTATGAAATATTTTTTTATTGACCAATGGTGATAACGGCATATCTATAAGCTGTTCAACAAAATCGTCAGTTCAGAATTAACACTGTGCGAAACGGTATTCTAACCGGTTGATGGTTGTTTTACTGCATAGTGTAGCATAATGTTACTGCATAGATGTTTTTTTTTAAATTGGTTAGCTCCAGACTTTCCAATGCAGCATTACCTACAACAATATTATTATTAATACAACGGAAAAAAAGCAACTTTCTGCAAAATAAAGTAAAAAAATAATTTAAGTTCTGTATTCAAAATATAAATAACTTGGCAGTCATGCCAATATTTGTTTATATATATATATATATATATATATATATATATATATTCTATATATATATATATATTCTATATATATATATATATTCTATATATATATATCTTCTTCTTCTTCAAGTGCCCTGTCCGTTGCCAACGTTGTCTATTAACATGGCAATTTTGATCTTGTTTGCGGCGCTTCTGAATAGTTCGACCGATGTGAGCCCGAACCACTTCCGCAGATTTTGGATTATATATATATATATATATATATATATATATATATATATATATATATATATATACCGTCTTCAGTACGGTGCAGCCAAGTTAGAAAAGGAGCATATTAACTTAGAAAACGTTCACTACAGGAGCAATGCGACCAATTTGTAACAATAATGTTAGAAGACTCTGAGGTTTCCAGGGCAATAACTAACACGTCCACGGAGGAAGTAGTAATAGTATATTATGTAATCAATTCCCAGTAAAAATAACAGGCAATACCAACCAACCAAAGTAATGCTACAATTTTTATGGATTTTTGTTCGGTATTGTTATGTCGAAAATTTATTTACACAAAGTACCTCGACAACTATGCTCATTGGTACAAGAACAATAATATTAAATATAGAATAAAATGAGAACAAATAATAATTATATTACTTTAACTAATCTATTACGTTAAGTCTTGTGGTAGAGTTGAACGGTTTTTAACTGTATAGTTTTTGTTATCTTTGTACGGTTGTTAAGCGGTTCCTTAGAGTAGGTTTCAAGTTCCGGACTTTATACAAATTGGTGAATTGTTTGCAGTTGGTAAGTTTGGTGTGGTTGATTCGTAGTCTTCTAATAGTCGATGCTTCTCTTCTAGTTAGGAAGTCCAGGGGGAGATGACCAATAAAAGATTAAAGTTTATGAAGAGTTGTTTAAGTTTTTTGCTATAAGTTTTGTTAAGTATCCTCTACAAACTTTTTGAAAACGAATTTCGAAATTCGTTAGCTAGGTGAATTTGGGTGACTCCAGTCACCCCATGGTTGGTAGCTTCTTTGGCAAAATGATCTGCTGTTTTATTACCAGTAATTCCGGTGTGAGAAGGCAGCCATATGAGAGAGACTGTTACATGGTAAGCAGAGAGATTTTGTTATATGTCATGAATGTTTTGAACTAATAGGTGGTCAGTGAAAATTGTATTGACTAAATAGATATATGAAAGGTAATCTAAACAAATGGCAATATGTCTGTTTCGATGGGGGATGCATTTAAAGGCCAAGAGAATACTATATAGTTCACCTGTGCAAACGTTGCATGTTAAGGGTAACCGAGATGATCTTTCAAGTTCATGTTTAGTGGTTACTGCACAACCAATAAGGTGTTGGTTATTGTTAGTGGAAGAAGACGGCATTGTGGCAATTAGGGAATTAATGGGATTTGCGAATGTTGATGTAGCATACGAAAGTAGAAGAGATTATCGTCTTAGGTTAAGAGAAAGTTCATTAGATTCACGGTATACACTCTTAATAGGACTAAAGCGAAAAGTGCCTAGACCTAGATGTAGTATCATCGGCACCCCATTGAAGATGACTGAGGGTTTTAAAATTGTTCAACCTGTTTAAACAATTGGTTTTAAGTTCAGAGATTTGATTTTTCCAATTTAATCATAACTATCTGTTCCAATATA